GAAAATATCCATTTTCCAAAGACAATAATCTTGCGACACGATGCATTGTCCATCTCTTACTAGTACGAATTTTGAAAAACATTATCTTATTACCTAAAAAATTAAAAAAAGAAAAATAAGAATAAAAGAATTATTATAAGAAATACTTTTATGTCAATAGTAATAATTGAAAAATATTTATTTTCCAAAGATAATTTTGCGATACGATCCATTGTCCATTTTTTACTAGTTCGAATTTTGAAAAATATTATTGTATTATGTAAAAAAAAAGAAAAATGAGAATAAAAGAATTATTATAAGAAATATTTTTATGCCAAAAGTAATAGTTGAAAATATCCATTTTCCAAAGATAATTTTGTGACACGATGCATTGTTCATCTCTTACTAGTACGAATTTTGAAAAATATTATTGTATTACGTAAAAAAAAATTTTTCCAAAGACAATTTTGCGATATGATACATTGTCCATCTCATCACAACATTATCGTCTTACGTAGAAAATTAAAAAAAGAAAAACGAGAATAAAAAAATCATTATAAGAAATACTTTTATGCAATAGTAATAGTTGAAAATATCCATTTTCCAAAGACAATAATTTTTGCGATCGTCTTAAAGTCTATCAATTGAAGAATCTTGAACGAAACTTTCGTTTCATTGTTCGATCTTTCTTCCCAACTTTTTAATCGCGTCAGCGGAAGAACGCGGGAAGTTTCATTTTCAAACGCGTATAACTGGCCCGATTAAAGAAATACCGGTATCGAAAGAGGAAAGTTCTCGGATCGGGGAAAAGGAAATTGCAGCTCGTTTGTAACCCGCTTACGGTAACTAGTTAATCTCCAGTTTCCGGGGAAAAACAGATCGAGACCGATTTATTGGAATTATAATTCTCCGCGTTATCGGGAAAATGGTTAAAAAAAAAAAAAAAAAAAAGAAAAAGGATCGTCAAACTGCATCATGTTTTTAGCTACACACGTATACGCACCGTTTGTTGGGGCAACGTTTTAACAGTTTACCTGTTTACCCTCCCCCTCTGTGTGTGTTTGAACACACGCCACGAGTGGAAAAGCAAACCAATTAGTCGTAACGCGCCACGTTTCCTTCCTTCGTGGAAAGCGTCATAATTTCGTTTCCGTCGATGATACGGGACGGTACAAACAGATTTCGTAATTTGATTATAGGATTAAAGTAACGCGAATTCAACGATGGGGGTGGTGGACTAAAGATTCGGAATCGATTTATCTATTCCGAAAGGATTATCGCGGGGCAGTTTGGCGTAATTCGGCGATGATTTGGCGAAAAGTAGGACGAAACGCGACCGTGATACACGCGGTTCGATAATAAAGCGGGTGGAGTGGATTGACGTGAACGGGAAATTGCACGTGGAATTGTTAATTACCGTGCGAACGTAACCTAATGATGCGGTTCGGATCGGAAGATATTGGATCTGTGCCGTGCCGTGTGCTTCCTAAATCGATCGAATTCTCGTTGTAATTCCAAGTACACGGCCTCCTAAAATTGCGATACCGTGTTTTGCAAAATCGCAAAATCTATTTCAATCCGTGGATTTCGAGAAATACACGAGGGATAAGATAAATTCGATGGAATTCCCGATGTGGCTAATATCAATTTCAATAAACACAAGAAACAATTATGAAACAGCGAAAAATATATATCTCTTCTTCCGTAAAATTTCTTTTTTTCCATGTCTTCCACATTCTTGAAGAAGTTTGTAATGCAATTTCGATACTCGTGCGTTTAAATTTTATCATAGAACAAAATCTTTTAATTTCTCGTAATCTATAAGATAGTAGATCTATCCTCTGTCGATCATCCATTTCCGTTTATAATACTGATAATCATTATCTTTCTACACAATTCTACGATTCCATTCTATTTTTATATTCATATTTAGTATCGTCGATCAACGATTTCGTGAATTATCGAGCGCCACGTGGTCTTCTTCGCGGCTTCTCTGGCCCAACATCGTCACAACCCCTCAAGATTCAAGATATACACTCTATACAGACTCGAGTATTCGAAATACGAAAGAGAATTGAGAAATTCTCGACGAGTTCTCGAGTCTACGTGATACGACGATAAATCCATTATTATGACGTTGAAGTGATGGTACGTGTTAAATGCGATTCGGAAGATTAACTATTGCCCCGTGTCGTGGGGCGCTTGACACGTTCATTTCGAAAGATTAATATCCATACGCGGGGAGGGGGGCGCGCGCAAGGTGAATAAAGTTGAGCAACTAAGCACCGAGATTTTGAAACGAGCGAGTTGTAATTCCCACGATTCAAACTCCCGCGTTTCCATGATTACATTCGAGAGTTGAATTTCGATGCCGCTTTCCCTCCGTCCCTCCGAAGATTGTCACCGGTCCTCCTCGCCAGAGGAAAGTTAAATTAACGGGAGAGAAATCATTCGTGCCCCTCGTTTTGTGTTTGAGCACCGGTGAACTCCATGTCTCATCCGTGTATTGTATTTTACTTTGATATCGACTCTCGTGCAATCATATACAATTCTTTAATTCCTTTCAATAGACGATTGAATTTTCTATTTATATGATATCTTGTATCTGTTTGTAAGTTATTTATCTTTAAAATTTAAACACCGTATTCGTATCTCTTTAAACAATAATTTTTTTCTTTCGATATCATGAATGACGTGAAACTTCTCATTGTTAACCTCGAAAACTTTAAAAAGATTCAAAAAAGTTGATTGACACTATAAATACGTATATCGTCCTCGACGAGTCAATTCACCGTGTAAGAATTGCAAAGGAGAAACGAGATCCTGTTTTAATAAGATAGGGAAACGTTGGAGGGGTAATCTAGGAAGTTTTCGCGGTGATAGCGGTGGAATTGGCTCGATCAGAATGCAATGGGGCGAAAGGGTATCGCACGCAGAGCCGTCCAAACTTCTAACTTCATCGCCTTCGTCGCGTATCCTTATCGACTCCTCGTATCAAAGGGATTTATTCCAACGTATCTTGACCTTCGCTATCTCGTGGAAATCGCACCCGTATATATATATACGGGTTGATCCGCGTTTAGATTCATGGAATGGCGGCAATCTGGTGGACATGATCCTCTCTATATTTGATCCTGATCGAAAGAAGACCGGGTTTCGAGCAGGGATTCCGGGTATCGAGGCTAACCGAGGGAATTGTTTTCGATAATAAACCTCTCGGGGACGCGTTTTTGCTCGCTATTATTGTCCCTGCGAAGTTCTGCGACCGACTGTTTGAGAAATAATAGCAATACCGTTACCGAGATTGGATCTCGCCGCGATTTACGAGTCGTGAGGTTAAACGAGATTTTAGGATCGGCGAGAGAGGCTTTCGTGGCTCGAGTTTAATCCCTTCGAGATTTCCAAAGTGCTTTTTGGAAAATTTAAATGATTCGCAATTTATTCGCGTATGGAAATTATTGGAAATTGTCGGATAGAGATAATTAAGGAAATTAAGGAATAATGGTATATTGTGACCATGTGTAAATAATTAATTATATTTATTCGTTACGTTTTTTTATTCGTATCTTTGTTTCTATTTTTTATTCGTTTTTTTATTCGTTTCTTTGTTTCTATTTTTTTCTCTTCTAATGTATTCAAAACGAATGTATTCAAATATTCGTGAGAGGGCAAAACAAACGTGAAAGTTATTAAGTTATAAAATTATAATTATCAATTGTAAATTAACCAATTGTAAATTGAGAGATAGCTTCATCTCTGTCTCATTCTTTCTAACTTTTTACTCGTCCGAAAATGAGTATATCGATCGATATTTTTGTATACCAATTTTTTTTAGAATTATGTCTCTGCTGAAAAAGTGTTCCACGAATGTATGAACACTCTGCAACATTCTAAAATAATTTAGGCTCGATCGATCGTTAAATATTCGCCAGAATATTGGACAAATAACCGATTTTAAAGCTGTTGAATCGCATTCGATGTGTGCATCCGTTCGTTGAAATGATGGAACACCACAAATTAAACACTTTCGATCAATCATGAATCAGCCCGTATAAAATGATTTTCCACGAACCTATTCCACCTATCGGTCTACAACACACGTTCCACAAATACTATTATCAGTTTAATATTTATATGAACGATCCTACTGTGTCAAATCGCTCAGATATTCGCGATTCACCAGCCCGTAGATAATATTATTGTGTAAACGTTTGCCATCGAAACGAGAGATTATTAAAAAAAAAAAAAAAAAAAAAAAAAAAAAAAAAAAAAAAAAAAAAAA